CAAGTTCGACATGTAAATATTGTCTTATGTCAAAATTTATTTGAGAATATTCATTAAAAACAACAACTATTCAAACTAATGTTGACATATACTTATAGATTGGTCGTAATGCATAAGAAAAACAAAAATCATCATACAATATGCGTCTATTGATGCAGTAGCGCGTGATATGCAATGGCACAGTGTTCTTCATACAATACTCGAAATGAATTAGTCTGTTTATGAATAGAAACTTTGCTCTAAATTTTATCTACATGTAGCCATTTGAATGAATGATAGAATATTTTTAAACCAGATATCTAAAAGACAAGACAAGGATCACCTACATAAATGATTGATAACAACTATGTCAATTATGAGTGTTTTGAAAAATAGATTATTTATTCTTATCATGTGTCTTTTGTGGTCTGTAGAGCAAGAAACAAAATGCGTAATAGCGATGTTTTTTTTCTAATCTATTGACAGAAAAACAATCTGCTTGAAAGGAGATAATAAGTACTATAAAGTAAATACAAAACCCACCGCCAGATGTAATGACAAAAACAATTTTTATACATAGTACGTTAAAATATTCTTTATATATGTAAATGATTTATTGATTAGATTTGTTGTTTTGTCAGTAATGTTTTTGTACTATTGTCCAGGTCAACAAGAAAAATTTGTTATTTGTGTTTCAATCACAACTGCATGTGTTCTACTTTTACTCTTTCTCATATTCATTCTTCATCTACATTTTCTCATAACAGAAATAGCAACGAGATTACGGAGACCATTAAACAGTCAATTAATAATTTGCACTGTCATCATCACAGCAGCAATAGAACGAGCAAAATGCAGAAAGAAAAAAAAACATCATTGTCGGTACATGTATTGTCGCAATACCTAGTCATGGTAAAGAATCAAGGCGAATTGTTTTTATTTTTCTATTCTTTTTAATTATGATTGATTAGAATCTAGCAGCTGTTTTTTTATTCTATTTTATAAATAAGAGTTGAACTCTATGCTCATTCTTTTGGTTAGTTTTTATGCTCTTGAAGGACAAAAAACAAAAAAAGAACGATCTTTTATTGATGTTTTCTTTTTCCTTTCTCTCGAATAGAATAAGAACAGAAAAAAAAAAAGAAGGCGTTCTCTCAAATTCCAAAGCAAAATAAGGAAGAGAAAGAGAAAGAGAGAAAAAGAGAGAGAGAAAAAAGAGAAATATAAGGATATATAATCAAAGTATGACATAGCATATATTCTCCCATCTATCCTTTTCTTTTTCTTTCACTATCGCCCATTTACAAAGCAGAATCGAGATATTTATTTTATTACAATTGCAGAAAAAAAAATCCTACATTTTCTAGCAATCGTAGTTTAATCAAGTGTATTATTTCTGGTTTAACCCAATGAACACTATCACTACTAATGATCAATGCGGCCTCGATCTTTGTAAACGTAAAGAAGTTGTTATTATAGGTATGCATTAATATTGTATTATTTATATTGAATTAAAAAAAAGACAAACAAAACATTCAATTTTTATAGGCAACGGACCATCTGCTATAATTCTATCTTATATTCTTTCTGGTCATATACCTTACTGGAATGGATGTCCTGTATCAAATGATTATTTAAATATCAAATTAGAACAATATGTTAAAGATACATCATTACTTGAACAGGTTAGATGAGTGAAATGAACTTAATAACTTTTTATGGAAAGAAAAGTCACTAAATGATATTTTTCTGCACGACCTTAGAAAAAAAAAAAGATAAAAGATCAACCTAAAGAACTCTTATCCAAGCACAGGTCATCTATTGCTATCTTTGTTTTTTTGTTTAAACATTTTTAACGGATAAGAATCGTTGGTTTTTTTTTAGGATTTAGAATTTTTATCTGATGGACTTGAAGGTCGTTCAAGAAATCCTGTTTCATTACTTATCGATAATTTATTACATCCAGATGCTGATCTTGGTGCACATTTACAATCAAAAATAAAATGGCGTCATGATCCATCATTAAGTATAGATCATATTTGTGTTGGACGTGGTGGAATTGGTGGTGTTTGGAATAAAACAACATCAAAACAATTACAAACAATTAGTATGGCCGATTGGATGGAATTACCAAATTATCCAATGTCTACATTTCGACAACAACGGCGAGCAGCTCGATGTAATTCATTAACAAATAATCAAGAAACAACAACAACAACAACAACAACAAATAATGAAAATCAATTTGGACGAGCAACATATGATGAAGTTCATTCATATTATATTCATTATGTTAAAAGAAATCGTTTAACAAATTATTTTCGTAATGGTTATGAAATAACATCTATTGAACGTGTTTGTATTGATGCACCATATTATGATGATGTAAATGAAGAAATTCGTACACCTCAACCATTATGGGAAATACGTGGTTATAATGAACAAGATAAAACTCCATTTGTATTACATGCTAAATATGTTGTATTAGCAACAGGTACGCCACAAAAAATAACAAGACCATTAGGAATTATTGGTGAATCAGCAAGTCAATCATTTACTTATACAAATTTACACGATATTGAAGACCTTATAAATAAAAAACGATTAACTAATAATAGTAAACCTTTACTTGTTGTTGGATGTGGTCTAACAGCTGTAGATATACTTCTTTTGTGTCAACAATATTTAATACCTGTTTTACATGTATTTCGTCGTGCTATTGATGATCATGAACTTGTATTGAATCAATTACCTGCTAATATTTTTCCTGAATATGAACGTATAAGAGAATTAATTCGACAATCAACATCTATGGTAGGTTAAAAAAAATATATTTATTTTATCTTAGTAAAGACAGAACAAATTTATAATAATATTGAAACTAAACTTTTCATTTTGTTTTAGTCTTCTTCCGTTTCTTCCTCGTCATCATCTCAATGGTCTTATCAATGTTATCCACAAAGTGAAATTATATCAATTACCGAAGATGGTACAGTACATATTCGTAATCTTCGTACACACATAACAACAGACTGTGATATATCATTCGTGGCTAAACTTACTGGAGCTGATGTGACTATACCTTTTCTTTCATCGTCAAACACAAAAAAATATAATGGCCTTCAAATTAATCCATATACTTATGAATGTATCGATTATGAAAATGTTTATGCATTAGGTCCATTAGCTGGAGATAAACTTGTTCGTTTTTTACAAGGTGGTGCTCTTGCATGTGCAGCAAGTCTGTTTAAAAAACATCGACAAGCATCATCGAATAATAATAATAATAATAATAATAGAAGACTATCATTCTCTGTGACTTCTCGAATTAGAGTTGCTTCATAGTTGTTTTGTTTCTTTTGTTGTTGTTGTTGTTGTTGTTTTTTATCTGATTTACTATGACTAAAGATGAATCATAATGTTTTTTTTTTTTAAAATAAAAATCAAATATTTCTTTATAATATTAATAATAATATTTGTGTATATTTGAATAAAATGAAAATAAATAATTATTTTTTTTTATTATGAGTACAAAAAGTTTGTGGTTTCTGCCTTTCTATAAATGGATGAATGCATTTGTAAAGGTGTTTTTCCATTATTTTCGATTATAATGTACATTTCAAGGTACACTATTGAATACGAACAAATATGAAGCGTCAAATTAAGTACAAATGTGATTATAATTAATATTTGTTTACTAGAAAATTATCACTTGTTTCGCTAAGTTTAGAATGACCGTCAATGGTCTTTATCAATTAATCAATATGATAAACATCAAATTTTATTTTATCCTTGAATATTATCTATAATAATCTTCGTGTTTATTAATAAATATTTGCCCTTGTTCAGACCTTAGTGATTCATTGAATACTTATTGACATTCAGATGAAAAAAAAATATATATCGAATGAAATATCCTGATTCATGTTCGATATTGAAATAAAAATTGTATCCTTCGATAAACACATATGGATATTCTTTATTACGTCATATGACTAATTGAATATACAAAAAGAAAAAGATTCGAAATTTGAATTAAATTGATAGACAATATGTTTCGTTTTGAAAACATATTTGGAACAAAAATAACAGCAATTTATATGTTTAGAGAAATAATTGATGGCATCGAAACAAAATCATGGCAGAAGATTTTTATTAAACACTACATTTTCTGCAAGCTTCCTTCTAACTGAAATTAAATATAATTGATTTTAATAGGACTCCTACAGTTTTCTATAAATAAAATCAATATACAATCGTTTCAATTAATCTTAAAGAGTTATGAATTGTTATTTTATCGCTCCTAGTATAATATAATTATGTGAAATCAAAATTTTTTTCTTATTACTAAGATATTTTTCAACAATATTTACGATTTCTTGATTTTTTATCTAGGACGATTATATTGACCTTTCTTTTTTTTATGTATTTAATTAATTCTCTGACTAAATGTTTGAATCAGCACGCATCTCTTCAAATATTATCAAGTGAGATATTTATCTATAGTTTCAATTCTTGCCTATTGAAATAGAACAAGTAAACAATGTGAACTTTGAGTACAAAAATCAATTACTTCCTTCTAATTAACAGTAATGTAATCAATTATTAAAATTTTTTGACATACATAATAAAATGCTTCGTTTTCTTTATTTTGAGTTTATTTTTCAATTTACATAAAACATTTCATTGCAATTATCATAAATAAATCATCAAAAATTATAATTACTTGCTAGACAATATAAGAACCTTTAGGCTACTGAAGAAATGATAAGTAATAGATCGAACAAAGTTAAGATCAATCATGTGTAAATATGACTATATTTCTTAGGCAATATAATATATCATAAAAAGAAAAATATTCAATTGATGTAAAATAAATTACCTGTAATAGTGAATGATATAATCATTAAGTACAAAATATTCTAAATAAAACATGAATATTTTCCTTTTTAAATATTTATTTATTTATCAAATAGAAGAAATTTTTATTGTTGTAGATTTTTATTTACATTCAACTCATAATGAATAACTTAGATGGAAGTAATATAAATATATCTGTTTTATCATCGAATGATGAAGTAATAAATACTTCAAATACTGATCAAAATACTGAAAATGAAAATAATATTGATCCAAAAGATGGTTATTCATCACATTATACATCGATTTTTTATCCATTTGCAGGAATGATACGAGATGTTAAAATACGTTTACCTTATTATTTATCTGATTGGAAATTAGCTATATCTTATCGAATATTTGCTGCAACAATTCGTATCTTTTTTCTTAATACAATACCAGCATTAGCTTATGCTCTTGATTTATATTTACGTAGTGATCATTATTATGGTGTTAATGAAGCTTTACTTTCATCAGCACTTGGAGGTTTGAAAGAATTTTAATAAAACAAATTTTTTCAAAATCAAAATTTCATTGAAATCAATTAGAAACATGAGATCTCATTTTTTTTTCTAGAACGAGAAAGAAAAGAAATCTTTTAGAGTAAATATAGCATTGAACGAGATCAAAATAGATTTTGATAATTTCGCTGATGTTTAATGAGAATACGGTCAGTCGCTTTCGAATTGTGAAGTTTGAATTTATACAGTGGGATCAAAAAATTAATCATACAGATTTTATTTCGATCTTTTCGGTGATGGTAACTTCCATAAAAGAATTCAAATAGTGATTTGAATAGAGAAAAATATTTCCAACGAGAATTTGAGGAGAATAAAACCTTCGAATTATTTCCCAAAGCCAGAATCTCTATAATATCAATAAACCTATTTTTTCAGCGTACAGAATTCGAAAATACAAGCTTCTTCTGATTACACAGAGCGGCAGAGTAGACAAAAAGAACTTTTGGGGTTCTCTTAAAATTTATGTAATTCAGTCAAAAAATCTCGTGAAGAGCTCGGAGACACTTCATTTTGTACAGAATTAGTCACTCTGTCACCCATGTAATCAAGAGAAGCTGTTATCTTCAGGTTCTGGGTTCTAAAAAACTAGGTTTTGGATTCTCTAAAGATCCTAGTTATTGGACATATTGTGAAGATTTTATTTCTCTTAAATCCTTGTTGAAAACGATATTTTCTATTCAAGTCATTATTTGAATTCTCTTTATGTCAGTTAATATCACAGAAAAAAAAATCAAAATTAAATCAGTATGATCAATTTTTGAAGCCACTATATAGGAGTTTTCGTTTTCTAACAAATTGGCAAATGTCCATTGACTTTAATCTGAGATCGTTAGCAAGAATGTTATCTATTGGCTTCAGGATATGTCTTCAGGTGTATTTTCTTTAGGTATTGTCTTTGGTCTATTGGCTGTACAACCTATTTCAATAGTTGGTTTCACTGGTTTGATTAGTTTATTTAATTATACAACATATAATATAATTAGTAGATATACTCAAGTACCTTATTTATCGTTTATGTGTTGGGTAGCTATATGGGCAGCTATTCTTCATTGGCTTATTGCTATATTTAATATGGTAACATATGTTCGTTATATGACAAATTTTACTGCTGAAATATTTGGTTTTTATGTTGGTATTGTTTATATTCAAAAAGGTATTGAATTTATTCTAGATGATTTTCGAGAATCATCAACAAAAGGTTTTATGTCAGTGTTAGTTGCTTTTGGTTTCTTTTTTTCATATTGGATATTAACACATATCGGTCAATCGAGTTATTTTACACGATCAATTCGTGATTTTCTTGTTGATTATGCTATGATTATCAGTGTTATTTTTTGGTCAGGTTTTACTTTCATACCAGGTCATTTACGTTCAACAAATATTGAACGTTTATCAGTAACATCTGCTTATAAACCAACTATATCAAGTCGTTCATGGTTTATTAATCCATCTAATTTAGATGTTAAATATGTTTTTATTGCATTACCATTTAGTTTACTTGTTACAGCTTTATTTTATTTTGATCACAATGTTTCAAGTTTAACAGCTCAAGCTAAACATTATCCATTACGAAAACCAGCAGGATTTCATTGGGATTTTTTTTTATTAGGATGGACAACAATTATAGCTGGTTTTCTTGGTTTACCATATCCAAATGCACTTGTTCCACAATGTGCTATGCATACAGATGCACTTGGTCGTTGGAAAATAACTGAATCTGTTGAAAATCAAGTACCAACAGCTGTTATTACAACTCATAAATCACGTCGACCAGTACAAGAATATGTTTTAGTTAAAATCAAAGAACAACGTTTAACAAATACATGTCAAAGTTTACTTTGTCTTATTACAATGACTGGTCCATTTCTTAAATGTTATTCTTTAATATCACGTGCTGTATTAGCTGGTGTATTTATTGGTATTGGTTGGGGTTCAGTTGAAGTTAATGCCATAACACATCAACTATTACATCTTATACGTGATCCTAATCATATGAAATTTGATGATTCACTTCTTCGACTTTCTCGTAAACGAATTTTTATGTATACATTAACAATGTTAATTGGTTTTGCTATACTTTTTGCAATATCACAAACAATAGCTGCTATTGGATTTCCTATACTTGTTTTACTTTTAATTCCATTTCGAATTATAATTTTAACAAAATGGTTTACACAAGAAGAATTAACTATTCTTGATTCACCTGTTGCAAGTTCACTTCCACTTGATTCTATTGGTGGTCTACCGGAAATATTGAAACCAATAAATTTATAAACGAATTTTCATTCGTAGAATGCTTTGTTATTTGTGAAAATTAAAAATTATTTTTTTTCTTCATATTTTACACTGAACTGTATGTTTTAATAGAACATATAAAAGATATTGGCTTGTTTTACCTTGATTGTATTATTTTCTATTAAGAACTACTTTAATTGTTCAGGAGTATAAGAATTTGAAGAATCAAATGTTAGAAAACTAATAAATTAATCTTGTGCATTAATGTGGTAAAAGAACAAGAATAAAAAAAATACAAATACAATTTTTTGATGGTGATTTTATTTAGTTTTTTTCATTTGAATTTACATATATAGATGAAAACTCTAAATATAAGTTGGCATGGTCTTCTGTAGTCTTATAAAGACCTGTCTCTGTTCAACATCCCGCTTTGTGAACACCTTTTGTCGATGTTACCAATCAATAATATAATATTTGAAATGTCAATTTAATTAATAGAATCTCGTAAAGATATATTTGATTAAGTATAATTTCTTATGTACACATAGATTAATTTTTATTAAGTTTGAAAACTTATAAAATATTTCTACTATACTCGAAAGTTCTATTTTATATACAGTTGCATGGAGAATAATCTGAACTATAAAATTTAATGAATGTCATTTTGTATAGAATTGTTTGATGAGAATTTTTTGACCATTATTGTTCTATTTAGAATAGAAATTTATTTGTTTTTTTTTTTGTTTATTGGAACTATTAATTTTATTTTAGTTTCTATTTTATTTGCAATGGTTTATAGAATTTTAAATTGATCACTTCATAATAAGTTATTATTATTCAAAATATAGGAAAAATGTATTCTTAGCATAGATTATCTTGTCATGTATTTACACTTTCAACAGGAAATCATAAAGTAAAACAGTATTTCATAGTCTTTATTTCTTCATTTAAGGATCAATTAAATAATTAACAATTAGAAAACTATTCTGTATAAATAGTTAAAGATATCTTTTATTTGTTTTCTTCTCAATAATTTCTACAAATAACTAATATATATTTTATAAAATTTTGATATGTTTCATTCACAGAATATACTTAAAAATCTAATTCTATAATGGCTTAATCAATAATCACGTTCTGCTGGTGGTCGATAAGGTAATTTTAAATATTGAAATATTGATTCTTCAGTTGGTGTTGGTACTAATCGACCTTCATTAACTTTATTTTTTCCCTAAACAAAAGTTTATTCTATTAACAACAACTACAAAAAAAAAGTCCATCAAATTTACCATTCGAATAACACCAATATGAAGACGATGTTGTGATAAATACATATTATTTTCATCAGCTAATTGACGCATTGAACGATTGAATAACATTGAACCAGTAAAATAAAGTAAAGCACATGCATGTTCAGCATATGGAACAATTATAATATCAATTCGACGTGACTAAAATCAATTATTAAATTTTATCAAAATAATTTTACTAGAAATGTAACAGTGACGGTGATTACCGATCTAGACATGCACACATAGAATAATAGCGAATGCAGTGAACGTATGATAGTCTATTTCAAGTAGATAGCTGAATTTTATAAACCATGAGAACTAACGAAGAAACTTCTCTAGATGTTCTATACATGCATGTTTCGACTAGTGCACTATTGCATCTCTAAATTCTACTAAAAATCTTACCAAATGATTTTCACCTGGCAATTTACATACACCAAAATATCGAAAATGTGCTCTTTTAAAAAAAACAAAACAATTTCATTCAAAATTAATGAACAACAATCGTTCTAATTTATTACCCTGGTTCTTCATCATGTTTATCTGTATAAACAAGATCATCAATAAGAAAACCTTTTTGCAAAAAAAACAAAATTTCCATAATGAAAATTTTATAAATAAAATATTTATTACCACTCGCTTTTAATTTATCAACAAGTGGAAAAAGTAAATGTTCATGTGAACTACCATCACGATGAGATATTAATATATCACAATCACCACATGTTACTTTACCTCGTCGATATGATCCACATGTTTGTATTAATAAACCAGGTCGAATAGAGTCAGCTGCTTCTCTAACCTATTAAAAATTTAAATTTATAATTAAATTCTTTTTCATTGTTTCTTTTCTTTTTTTATTTTTTACATACAACATTTTCAATTTGTGTAACTTCATCTCTTGGAATACGTTCAAGAAATTCAGAATAATATTTTAATCCAATCATCTGATTATGTGTTAATTTAGCTTTTGTTCGAAGATCATCTAATGTTCGATAACCCTTTATTTTTCAAAAAACAAAAAAGAAAAAATATTATTAAAGAATTCAAATACAAAATAACATACAAGATCAACCCATCGTTTTGCTTGTGCTGGTCCAATACCCCAAATTTTTCCAAATAAATCCATTACAGCAATATCAGCATCTGTTTGATATTCTTCTAATTTTATCATACTACCTGTTTCCATGATTTCAACAATTTTTTCTGCTAAACGTGGACCAACACCAGGTAACATTCGAATTTCCTATTAACAAAAAAAAAAAAAAAAAAACATATTCAAATTTTTGATAATAAATATATATATATAAATATACTTCATAAGTAGTTACGGGTCGATGACATTTTTTTAAAGTACTTATAGCTTTTTGATAACCAAATGCACGCCATTTATCATTTGAATTTCGATATAAATTTGCCATTTCCTATAAAGTAAAAGAATAAAATGTAATTATTTCAAAAGAAAATTTGATTTTTACTTGAAGTTTATCAATAGCAGCTTGATTTGGATTAATTACAGGATCGACAGGTAATGCAGATGATTCACAACACATCCAATTACCTTTCTAGATAAATATATACATATATGAACAAAGTATTTTTAAATGAAACTAACCGCAAATGTGATTTCTTTGGAAGCTAATGTCTAAAACGAACAAAAAAAAAACAGATAAACAGTTATCCTACAAAATAAATTGATTTTATAAATCAGAGTCATTGTAGATATTTACGTTCAATAGAATTAAATTGTTTTATGAAACGTAATCGAAAAGTTGTGTGGAAGTATAAAAGTAAAAATTTGGATTCCCTCGTCCCGATAGACTGTATATCAATAACATCTAATTATAATAAATGAATTATTTCTTTATTGCATTTCTATGGGACAATGAAGAAATATATCTCAAAATAAATAGAATAAAATAATCGTTCTGTGATTAACAATAGCAGTTGTATCATCTTTCACGTTTTAATTCCGCAAGAATTGCGCTAACAGCTTTCTTTTAAAATAAATCTCATAGAAGAAACTTGAACATTGAATCCTTTACCTTTTTGACGATAATTTGAACTATAGAATTCGAGATCATAATGCCAAATATTAAATCATAGTCAGTTTTTTTTTAATAAAAAATTGAGAATCGAAAACTTTTATAAGCCTCCTTACTTCAGTATTGAAAAGTACTGACTTTCAACAATGACTGAAGGTTATCTTTTAACTAAACTTTCATTAATAGTCAAAAATTCAGTTTTTCTAAGGGCAAAACGCCAGTAAAAACGTAGCTTCCGGTTATTGTCGATAGTCTAGTTGACGCCGTAAATTCATCAATTAATCATGTTTGCTAAATTGAACATTCCATATAATGGTCAAAAGTCCATTAAAAACCTATTACAACGAAATTCATGTTATCTAAACATTTATTTCACTATCATATAGTTATTAATGAAGAGTTACTCAATTATCAGATATTGTTTAGCTACAAATTCATTTTTTATGACACAGGAAAGATTCTACAAGAAAATTTTTATACATAACAATATAAGATTTCATTCGAAACAAATCCTTCAAGTCGTTTCTTCATCTACTCATAATCAAAATCGAGAATTTAACTAATATTTGTCAATATTTCAATTCTATCATTTATATAGATCATACAAATAATACATACAACTAATTCTTCATCAGTTTTATTAACAACTTCATCTTCATCATAATCACTGTCTGAATTTGATCGTATTCTCGGAATAATTGACTGTTCATTACTAAATTTTGTTCGAGATATTTTTTGATTAATTGATATATTATTTTCATTTGATATATTATTTTCATTTGATGTTTTTGTCACTTCAAATACTAATGAACGAATAAACGGTTCACGTGGTAATAATTTTTGAGCACGTAATGATTCACTAAGCCATCGTGTACTAACTAATTGTGGTATATATGAATTGGATAGATCAAGATGGAGAATTTTTTCAATAATAACATGTGTTTCAAGTGTATCTTCGACAATAACACAATCAACATTATCAATATTGAATGGTGTTATACAATCAAGAGAAAATTTTTCACATGCTTCACGAAATATAGATAAACGACCTTTGCCAATTGAGTTGGGCAATAAATATACTCGACATGTGGCATTGATCATTTCTAAAACAATGGTTTTAAAAAAAAAGAGTCTGATTTCAGACAATACTACTTACACATGCTCAAATAAACGTTGGCGAGCTCAATCTATCTAAAACAGAAAAAAAACCGTATCATAAATTGATCATTCTAATTTCATTTTTTTGGTGTATTTACACAAAAGTAAATATATATATATATATATTCGATCCAATGACATAATCCTTGAAATACATGAATACAAGTCTGTTTCACGGAATTTTCAATCCATTTCAAGTTTCCTATTCGTTAACGAACAATCCAACACTTCAGCGACTTTATTTCGTACGGAGAGAGCTAATTTTACAGATGAATATTGTAACGATAAAATGAGAGAGAGAGAGATATTATGACAGACTGGAGGAGTAGCTAACCGCTACTCGGCAATGATGTTTATTAGCTGCTTTACATCTCCAGAATATGTCTATTAGACATTCAACGTAAGCTTATGTATGATAGCGAAACACAGAGAGAGGAAGAGCAGTGAGCCCTGACGTATATATAGGCACAAATATGAATAATTTTCATTATAAAAAAATATTTTTCCTCAATGATTTTTATGTTTTAGTTATTAAAAATATGAA